CGGTAATTACACACTAGATTCCAACTTTAATAGGGAGTAGGCCCACTACTACATTTAATGACATAAAGTTTGACACGTGCCTTCTAAATTCACACCATGCAGGGTATGCCAACTTTTCTATAACTTATCACTAATAGAGTTAAGCTTGTAAATAGCAAAGAAAAGAAAAACAGTGCTTACGAGGTAAACAGCGTTCATCATCTCTATACAAGTATCCCAATGGACACCGGCATTTTCCGTAGATATTAGGAATTATCCAATCACAGTGACTGTATTTGTCTGAAAGGCGACATTGTTCGTGATTAAGGCAATATTCTCCTACTTTTGCCACTGCAAGAAAAATCAAAAATAATTTATTTATTTCACTTCGTATGTTTAAGTAGAAAATGGTAAGAAATATCAATTAAGCCTCTGGAACATCTAAGTAAAGTCACAAAAGGCATATCATTGTCTTTGTTGCTGTAGATAATAAATTTTAAAAGAGACTTTTGTAGTATTATTTAATACTTTTTTAGAAGTGTAAAAAACTCAACATGTTTATATTTTTGTACGGCTATCATCTTTACAATTTTTTATTTCTCTTGACGAACGACATGCCCCTAGATACACGTGTTTTACTGTGGATCTGCGTCATATCATCACTTAAAAAACGTTGATATGATTGTTTTACTACTTGCTAATATACGTTCCCTTTAATAACTACAGTTTCACATCTAATCGATAGATGGCAGTATACTTACAAAGCTTCTTTTTCAAGATGTTAATTGTTAAAACATTAAAATCTATTCTTACAAAGCACTTTCAGGGTGTAAATACACGCTTGTTGGTTTAGGAATGAGAAAAATGTATAACTTTTAGTTGTGACCTGTAATATATTTGTCATTATTTTTATTTTGATAAAATGACATAAAAAGACTTAATATCAGAGCTCACCTTCAATGTATTTTACAATTTGAATATATTCAGCTGGTAAAAAGAATCTATACGTTATAAAACATTCATATGGACACGAAATCACATGAGGATAGTTAATTTAAGTCCTTTCAAATTTGACCAGCTGAGAAAATCATTAAGTTAAGAACTTATCAAAAGTAAGTTGTGTTATCTCAAGCAAAACGTTTTGAAAAACTAAGTTTAACAGGTATCATTCTAGAGAATATTCCAAAATTGTAGGCCCTCTCTCTTCTAGGAGAAAAAAAAACATATCAAGAACATTAAAATAATGAAAGAATAAAACAGTCACAGTGAGAGTCGTGTATTTTTTATTTATAATTTTTGGATCTCCTGGAAAATCAGAAGTAGTTTAATGATTGTTTTTAAGATCGTTTTAAGAGTGTGAGCATTTTCACTTCAAAATTCAAATATCGTATCACATCCAAATCTTCGATAAGCCCAAAACATAACATTAAGAGATCCTTGCGTTTTTGAACGAGAGTTGGTATAAAGAACTGTTCAGACTGACTTAATGGGAAACAGATCTGAGTATGTCATATCTAAATACACACTTTTAATAGGCCACTCACCAGTCAGTGGGGGACATTTTTGTTGAAAAAGAAAAAAAACTACCCAATCGGGGTTTCCTTAATTTGAACTGACTTTTTTTTAGACATTTTTATTGCTAACAAGAAGGAATTTCCCGTCCCGCACTATTTTAGTGTTGGGACTGCACAAAGTGATTTGAATTAATATGGTGACTGAAATCAGTCAGCGCATCACGAGCTTAACGGCAAAGCACAAAAACCATGGAAGTCTCCAAATGACACGTAGAGGTATTCAGGAACCGTTTAGAACCACCGTGGTAGATACTGTGCAGCAAGCCGAGTACAATATTATGCGTGTAGCTGATTTCAAGGTGTTCCTGTCTTCTCATCCTACTGCTGACTATCGTGATGCTTCGACCTTCCCTACCGAATCGCAAGTGAAATCATTCGTATCTCAATTGAAAGCTAAACATAAAAAGGTGATAACAGAAGCATGAAAGATTGGCAATTGCTTAATTAATGAAGCTGAAATGCGGCTTTATTGATATATACTGAATTTATTTCCAGCGGGTAGACCTTTGTACTAGCTAGTATGGGGGTTTGAGAATGCTGTATTTCACTAAAATATTATTGGTCCGGCATGGCCAGGTGGTTAGGGCGCTCGACTATTCCACTATTCGTTTGTAAAAGAGTAGCCCAAGAGTTGGTGGTGGGTGGTAATGACTAGCTGCCTTCCCTCTAGTCTAACACTGCTGAATTAAGGACGGCTAGCGCAGATAGCCCTTGTATAGCTTTGCGCGAAATTATAAACAAACAAACACTAAAATATTTATTAATCAACAAATGAAAACTTCTCTCGAAAAGATACGTCCAAAACCTTCCTCTTTGGGACTTTCCGGATTGAACTTACTTTTAATATTCAGTAAGTTGTAGTGTAAAGACACCCCTTGGCACCTGAGGGACGTGTTATTTTTTAAGTTGTAATAATATTAACGATGGAAACATGAATAATAATAACGTTACAATAATTCTGAGTAAATAAAATATTTAAGACGTTCATCACTTTCATTTAATTAGAAAGATATCGTAAATCCATACCTTGATACTTAGGAGTTTATTAGAATACACTAATAAGGATAAGCTGCTTACAGTTGCCATCATACACATAATGCTAGTATATATTTGTTTGTAACTGAAACAAGCTTCTTCATTTCTCGTTATCTGAAGGAAACCAACCTGATAAGCACCTGTCTCGTCTCAATGGAATGAAAAGAAACTAACCTGATAAACAGTTGTCTCGCCTCAGTGGAATGAAAGGAAATTAATCTGATAAACATTTGTCTCGTCTCAATGGAATGAAAGGAAACTAGTCTGGTAAGCATTTGTCTCGTCTCAATGGAATGAAAGGAAACTAGTCTGGTAAGCATTTGTCTCGTCTCAATGGAATGAAAAGAAACTAACCTGATAAGCACCTGTCTCGTCTCAGTGGAATGAAAAGAAACTAACCTGGTAACCATTTGTCTCGTCTCAATGGAATGAAAGGAAATTAACCTGGTAACCATTTGTCTCGTCTCAATGGAATGAAAGGAAATTAGTCTGGTAACCATTTGTCTCGTCTCAGTGGAATGAAAAGAAACTAACCTGGTAAGCATTTGTCTCGTCTCAGTGGAATGAAATTTGGTCGACAACCGCACAAACCGCTGATACACTGACTGTTCTTTACTTTCTCTCTACACTGGTCATCGACAGCACATCCAAATCCTAGCAGAGAAGCTGGAAGATGCAAAATGCTAATTTTATTTCCAATAATCAAAGAATTGAATTGTGTAATAAGCTAAGAAAGTTACGTCAATAAAACGATTAATTCGGCGCAAAAAATTATCTTAGAATACTTCTTTTTATTTAGAATAAACAATGATAAATTTGCATGTGCTAATCTCGCACCGATTGCGCTTCTTAAAACACATGTATAGTTATCTGGCTCTCTACAGCTGTGCCGCTCAACCTGTATTCTAAATAAATAATTAACTCACAAATTAAGTACTGTTTAGAACTATACAACTGAGTCATTACTGAAACTTCAGTGTTAACAATTGGCAAAATAACAATTAAAAGAAGCTTTCCATTATGTAAAACTTAAAACTTGTTTATTGTCGGATATACAGAGTATAATATGTAGGGTTACAACGTTTTTACAATTGCGTATCCGACAATAAAATAAACTAGTTTTAAGTATTGGCAACATGCAACAGAATATTTCAAGAACTTTTGAAGTGTTGCTTCAAAAAGATACTTACGAACGAATAAAAGTAATTATAATACTTACGAGGAAGGCACGTAGAGTCATTGTACTGTACGTGATATGGACGACAGCTGCAGATTCCGTTATCTGAGTCACAGAAACTGTTCGAAATAAACAGAAGGCAGACAAACGACGACTTACATGAGGACCCCAAGAACATGGACGAAGGAAGAAGTCCTGCGGAATTAGAGTGAAAAGAAAAGAATAGTTAAAACAAACAGAAATATGTATAAGTTTTACAATGACAAAATGTTTTATTTTTAATAAAGAGCGCTAAAACCTATTTTTAGTTAATTAAATATTAGTATAATATATATACAGAAAGAGAGAAAGTATTCGTTAACATTTCTGCTTTAAAAAAAATATTTGATATATATGAGCTCCAGCATCCTTTTGTAAGAAAAGTTTTGGTTTGGTTTGTTTTGGAAGTTCGCGCCAAGCTACACGAGGGCTAACTGCGCTATTCGTCCCTAATTTAGCAGTGAAAGTCTAGAGGGAAGGCAGGTAGTCATCACCACCCACCGCCAACTCTTGGGCTACTCTTTTTACCAACAAATAGTGGGATTGACCGTTACATTATAACGCTCCCACGGCTGAAAGGGCGAGCATGTTTCGTGGGACGGGGATTTGAACTCACGACCCTCAGATTGCGAGTCAAGCGCCCTAACCACCTGGCCATGCCGGGCTGTTCTTGAGTATGACCAAAAGGATTCTAAAATCCCATTACTTCACTCGCTTTCCTATTTTTAGGAATTTTACAGCCATTTAAATTTCTCCTTTCTATTGCCTTACTGCCTACTTCCCGAACTCTGATCGCAATGAAACATTCGGGAGTTCTTGGGTGTAGTCCATATCTGTAGTCAAGCGCTTTAACCACCTAAACATTCCGATTTTCAAAGAAATAAGACACATTTTACAGAATTATAAAAAAAATGAAATTGTTGGCGTTGATCATATCAGTGAAGAGTAAACTCTTCATATTTTTGTCTTACTTCACCATATCAAAATCTTGATTGGCCATGAAACGATAGCTACAATTTATTGAAACCATGCGACCAATCCAAGAATAGTATTGACTTCACGTTTCGTTTTTGATAGACATAATTTTAGTACCTCAAAAACATTATGTGTTTAATTGTTATTTTCGCATGCGGATCAATATTTTAGAAATTACACATATTTTGCCGAATAATAATTTACCATCATCAGGGTTAATAGTCTATTACACTATGGTTTGCCAACATGAATGATAAACGAAACGTGTCACAGATTTTTTAAGTAATTCTCACCGGGTGTCAGACGGTAAGTTTTTGGACTTACAAGTCAACGCTAAAATTCGGGGCTTGATTCACCGCGATTAACAGATCGCAAAGATCGTACGTTTTTATTTACAATATTGACGTGTTTTTAACTTTGGACTGGGTGTAATAAGTAAGAATTCGTTTAATTTTCACCCTATCTGTTAGAAAAGGAAACACATATTTGAAAGTCTATTAACTAAAATATCAGATCCTTTTATTTCATGATGTTAGAAAAAACCCAGGTTCAAAAAGTCTTGATAGACATGAATTAAGACCCTATAATAGATCGTTTTATTTATATGTAACTGTAAAATAAGCAACTGATACTATAATTCAAGATAATGACTAGTGATATCCATTTGTAATACACACAATAGTTGAAGTATGTCAATGATAAATTGGATAACAGAAAGCTAAAAAACTCTGCATGTAAACTTTAAATAATGGAAATCACAACTCGAAATCAATATACAACGTTCTCTACAACACGGCAAAAAATTCTTAATTTGTTTCAAATATTCACGCATAGTTACATAAGGGTCATTTACTCTACAGATCTGATATATTAGAAGGAATGCAGCTAGTATACTAGCTAGTGGGACGCGAGCCATAAATTCTCGTACCTACAGTCCGGCACGATAACCACTAACATACGCCATGAAACAGCTACAACACATTAACTTCACTAGATTGAACATTATTTATGGCAACTGTTATGGTGGGAGTGCAAAATTATAATGTAGAATAACTAGATTGAACATTATTTATGGCAACTGTTATGGTGGGAGTGCAAAATTATAATGTAGAATTAATGTTTCTTACCGTTTATGGAAGAAGTTTGTGACTGATCAGAGGCAGCAGAAGTCTTCAGGGTGAGGGACATGAGCACCTGAAATTAATATACTTTTTTAATACAATAAAGCAAGTCTTATGACTTAACTAAACCTATAATTCACATTTCTAATGGTTTCCAAAATATAAAATATTTATTACACAACATTGAAATCCCCCTCTTTGTTTAGGTAGTGTATTATGAAACAGAGTAAGCCTTCCTGTCACGTGATTCAAATTAAAGTAGTTTTTTAAAATTAAAATTCGCGAGACGAAATGCCCTGTTTGCTTCAGGTGACGAACTAGTTATTAAACTTCGATTACGAAAAACTGAAAAGGATCTTCAGGGAAAATCAGCCGAATGGTTATATCAGGTACACACACACGTACGGTAATGCTTCGTGGGGTATGTAGAAGAAAGTTTTATACATAATCTGGGAATCTGATATCAGAAACATGGATTACAGACTTTTAAGTAACTGTACGTAATTACTCTTTCACTAGCGTCACTTCGTCTACTGCTATAATACAAAAACACTGTTTTACCCCTGTAAAATACACGTGGTTTACTGCGTCTGAATTTTAAAACATATATTTTACCGTTATTACTCAAAACATGAATTTGTACGGATATTTCACAGTTTCAACGAAAGACTTTTCTCTTGCTCAGAAAGTATTAATTGTTACACACCACAAGGAAAGTTCAGATTTATTTTTGTTTTACCTTAAGTGAGGGTCTACTAATTATAGCCCCTCCCAGTGGCACAGCTATAAGTCTGACGGCTTATAACGCTAAAAATCGGGTTTCGATACTTCTGGTGGGCACAGCACAGATAGCCCATAATAATAATTATAAACTTCGTAAACTATCCACCTACCCATTTCAATTTAATCTCACGATGATATGTATACTTGTCGATTGGATATAATAACTTTCGAATTGAATGCTCATAATCCTGAAAATACCCGATATATCTAAACTTCAGCATTCTTTGCCCTCCACTTCATAAGTCTCACAAACACACGCACTCTTTTGTTTTTAATGCTATGGAATACTTTTCGAACTACTATTACACATTTCTCATCACATTAATGCTCGTTTTTCCACGCTCTCAAGGACCAGACGTGAAACATAAGAAGTTTTTGTAAGAATAAAGCATTCTAAATCTTTCCTCTTGCATCATTCTTTTGGAAAATAATAGGGTTCTAGTTGATTTTGTGATTTAATCTAAGCAGTTTAATCTCTTAGAATAGATGGTACAGGAATAGAATATTATTCTTATTTAAAGCTTTGAAAATACAAAGCAGGAACCACGTGGTTTAAATAGGATAATTTGTGAAAATTTCTAGAAATAGACGTGAAATATAAAACAAAGTTATCTAAAGAAACTTAAATATTTTGCTATAGATTCTTTTATTTATACACTACATATAGTTTAGTGGTTTGGCTAACAACTAACCAATCATGATTGATGGATTAATTCAGCTAAGATGCGATTTTTCTCTGTCATTCACTTTTGTACAGCTTTAACTACTCAAAAGTTAACACATTCAGACATTTTTGCTTAAATCAATCATAATTTTATAAGGCAATTACGAAAGACATAAGATCTATAAGAATTTCGTAAATTAGGACCCTTAGCAGCAGTGCAAATGTAGTCATGATCATGCAGTACTCTATATGATCACATTCTCACAGTCTTGAAGACGACAGCAGATTAACAGGTATAATCATTAAAATGGTGATATAAACATGAAACCTGGCATGGGTATTTTCATTGGGTCAATGTTAAAGAAAATAATGTCAGCCATCAGAAAATCTAAGATGGCTGCCATTTTGCTCACAAACTTACTTAGTTGTCCAATTTCGACACTGAAGCATTAGATTTGAATAGTTTATGGCCTACTTAAAGCTAATTTTATTATAATTACATCTCCCAATTGTTTCTGATAGACCAAGATGGTTACCATTTTTTCAAGATGGCCTCCATTTTTCAACATGAATGTCTAATTTCAAAACACATACAGATTAAGTTAACTACGCTGACTAATGTTAAAGTCTGCCTATATTTTTGCCCTAGTGTGGATCTCTGCAGCTGCTTCTGTGGAATAGTAAGATCTGATTTTCTTTCATGTTTTTCATAGTAGTAGACGATCTTTTAATAGCCCCTTTTAAATTTTTGTTGTTGAATAGGATTCTGCAGCTTTGATAATATTTTGTGTTGTTATTTTATTCTCCATGCAGCCTCTATGCCACCACCTAAATCTATATTGGCAAGGTCTAGCATGTCAGGTAAACCATTAAAGTAATGTTTGTTGTGATATCGGTATAGCCATTTTGTTCTCTATTGTAGGAACTTGGGGATAAGTTGAGATCTTCCTTCTTTTCCTGTTAACAAAGACAGCATGTTATCCAGTCAAATTGTCATTTGCATTTGGTAGGCCTATTCCATTCGCACGTGATCTGTATGTCATCCGGATAAGTGAAATCCCGTCACCTTTAGAACGACTCTCTTGCGATGAGATATCCTATCGATCGAGTGAGGCTACCTAATCGATATGGAGTTGGTTAGGCAACATTTGGTAAGCCTATTCCAGTCGCACGTGATCTGTATGTCATCCGGATAAGTGAAATCCCGTCACCTTTAGAACGACTCTCCTGCGATGAGATATCCTATCGATCGAGTGAGGCTACCTAATCGATATGGAGTTGGTTTGGCAACATTTGGTACCCTAAATTTCTGTTAGGTTTAGCTGACACTGAACCCTCGTCCTGCGTTACACAGCAGTGACGTCACCAGTGTGTTCTAGTAGCGCATTAATTTCACCGTTTTGTCCGCATGCTAGTTATCAATCCAGAATGTGGTTTTGAAATAACATAAGTTGTTTCAAAAAAATAGCCACTCAGATCATTCAAGTTGTATTAAATTATAAGTCAACAATTGGGATTGGCTTGAGAAATCGGTGGCTATCTTGTATTTTCACGGGGCTACTGTATTTTTCAACAAATATGATTTAATGGGACTGT